CAAATTAAGCACTATGCCCTCCATGAGGACTGTCATCTTATGTATGACAACCCATTGTCAACATATATCAGGACAGTAATTGGCTTATTCTCCCTCCCCCCCCCCCAACATCTCCCCCCACCCCCACCCCCACTCACCAACCCCAACCCTACTCTGACAGCTATCAATTGCTACTGTATCATGGTCCATGTGTTTATTGGTAATGACACATTCCAAACTTAATGAGGAAAAAACTACAGTATGTGAGGTGATTCTGAAGGTTTCGACATGAGCCTGTTCCACAGAGTCAGGGAAGAATCTACCAAAATCTGTCACCCATGCTATTTTCTTAAGCCTTTCACAACCATTTCCAACATTCAGAGAAAGTTCTGCTTTACTGCTAACCATGACACGACATCTTTAAAACTAATTTACCTAAATTGTTTGCATAACAACTTTTACCGCTAGCATGAACTTGCCTCTGTGGATAAAATTAACTTGTCATGTCGAAAACAAGGTCTTCTCTCAAATATTTTACTCACGTATTTTTCAAGAATGGGCAGTGAGTGAGAGGGAAAAGATATTGCTGCTTAAAGATAGAGAATTCTGAAGCTTGATGTATTTGTATGGAAGTCCATTCACTTGATGTCTTTCCCACATGGTGGCACTTGCTCCTGTGCCATTGAAAGTCACTTCTCTCAATTCACTCTCCCACTTTCTCTTGAACCTATAAATTTCCGCTGATTGGAGCCACTTTTTTAACCCTTACTTACAACAACTGGAGCTCATACACTGGTAACTGTCATACTAGATTTGCTTGGTATGGTTTGAATTAGTCCCTTTTTTTAACTGTGAGAAACTTTACATTCAACATGTGGTGAGCTGTGGGTATTAAGAGGGGTGGACACATTCTACATCTTTCCGACCATAACTATCCGTCGGTATAATGGATGGAGAGTTCTTGAACTAGCCTTGTCCTGGTGTCTTGTTCTGTAAAGAAATATAGGTAAATTCCAATGTATTAATGATCTTTGAGAAATTTCTTATCTCTTAAATACTGTTGATAAAATCTTATTTACCCCCATAAACATGATAACATGGTAATGTATGTCAAAGTCAGATATTCATTTTTTTATATTTAAAAAAAAAAAGAAATTGAAAATTAGATAGAAGTAGAAAAAAAATTTTGAAATGAACTCCACTATTAATTTGATAATTGTACTGCTCAAAAATGAAATTCATATTTATTTTTTTAATAGTCCTTAGTCGAAATAAAGAACTTACATGTTTTTGAAAGTTTTACAAAGTCATTTTTATTCATATTTGTTATAAGATATAATCTGAAGTTTATCTCTATGTTTTCGTTAGCATCAATATTTTTTTCTGCTTCTAAATTCCAAAGAGTGGTTTCAAGTTTTCTAAATTTGAAAATCAATTTCAACTTGATCAATACATACTTGTAAGGGGGAGCTGAAAAGCCAAAACCATGAAAACATTTATGGCCGAATCTTAATTGCGGATGTGTGCCAGAATGTTGGTATTAATTTGTATGTCGTAACTTTGCTTGATTGCATTTACAGTGTAACATTGTATGTATGTCACACATTGGCTTGATTTGGTGTAACCCTACATGAATCTTCATGGACTAAACTTTTGTAATTAAAACTGCGTTTTAAAAATAAAGATTTTTAGAGAGAATATTTAGAAAAAGCGCTATGCCTAATTGAGTTTAATGTGTAGACATCTGCAGGTTCAGTTTATCTCTGCGAGTCTTTAACCATGGAAAAGTATTTTAGTCCTATATACTTGATACAAATACAAAGTAGATTTGACAGAGCAGAAAAGCATTAAACTGTGGACCCTCCCACAAACAATGGCGACCCAAGTGACTAGTGTTGCGATCAGAGATACGCTTCCCCGCTTAATGCCATGTTTCAGATTTCTTATCTTTTGAATAAAATAAACAAAAAAGGGTCCGGCATTGTGTTAGGGGTTGAAAACATTGAGAATTGACGGAATTGATATGTCCATTTTGAAACCGGATGATACACTGGAAAAGAAGGAATCGAGAGAAAAAAATTTAGAAACACTATGGCTAGTATACAGTGCGCAGGCATACTGCACCGCTTCATGCTTATTTTCAGCTTGAAAAGACCACTTCAAGCTTTATTTGTAAACTTAATCCTGGAAACATGATGGGGGGTTAATATGTCTCGAGATTGGGCAGATTAATTTTCATTATTAGATCATGAAACATATGTTTGTATGAGGTAGTTTAACAGATGCTAGTGTATACCCTTACTCCAGGCCAGGCTCTATTGGAGTCGCCCAAACCTAGTCGAGGGGCCCTACAAAGGCGAGACAAGACGAATTTGTCTTGCAGAAGTTTAATAGTTAAAGATTTCAGCATGTTCACTGTAAAAATAAAGAGAACGATTACACGCAATTGGAGATGAAATCTACAACGATGTTATTTGACAAGTTAGAGCTGATTTCTTAGGGTGAAATATGGGGTTGATATTCTCTGGGTAGTGTGTCTAGTTACACGAGAATTAGTCCTCACTGTGTTGTTTCTTCAGAAATCACATTTCCCATCTTCCTTGTAAATTGAACAGATATTTGAGCCATGACAGGTTTAATAGTGGTTCTGATGATGTGCAGCCTCTGAAGCGCCTATCATCGCTTCTATATACTATAAACAAACACCTATAGGTCTATGCTAAGCTATCACTGTGTATGGATGCTGTCGCCTGTGAAGTCAGTGTTGCCTATAAGAACAGAGGTCTCTGACATTCTTGTACTCTTTCATACTATACTGCTTTATTATCAATGACGTTAGTAACACCATGTACTTTAAACCTGTAGATTTGGACTAGACAAAACTCTAGCATTTTCTAACACACTGGTATTTCTATCGCTACTTAAAAACATAATGATTAAAGATTTTGTATAAAAGATACACAAGTGAATAACACCTTTTAATAAAAATTTAGATCCAGCAGAGCCAAACAATGAATTAAACTGCACCATCCATTGTCCATGTAGGACTCATCAGTGATGCTAAGGGCCTAAAGTTTGAAGCCTTGGAGGTGATTGACTGAGGAAATCCTGAAGTGATCAAATGAAAAGCCATTATCTAGACAGGGACGTACACTAACCCTATAGTTAACTCAATTTTGTAGTGTTTATATATCAGATAATTTTAAAGTAACGACAAGTACATGTGTATATTTTGAATCATGCCACAATATAATACCATGCATGAAGTTTGGATGTCAAGGAAATTTTAATGAAGTATCGGTATGAATCAGGTCTATTCTCATTAACCTGTGTAAAGTGGAACCATGGTAATTTAGAAATTTTCATTTGTTCATAAATAGTTGGAATCTAATTAATGTTGATTGTATTACCTCTGGTCACTTTGTGTGTCATGTACTCTAGAATTTATTTTTGAATATATTTCAGAATTTCAATATTCTGAGCATTTGTATTTCTGTGAACAGTGTAACCTGTCTGTCAAATGTTTTGATTTTCTCTGAAAGAGATCTCTGAGGAGTTCAAAGTCAAATATAGCAACTATTTAAAATTTCAAAAGAACCTCAGAATTGGTGTAGTAAATTTTAATATAATTTATGCATAGAAAAACACTGTCTCTCAAAATTTCTAGAGATACTTGAAATATACAGTCTGAAGTTGTGTAAAAAAAGTTGTCAATAAAAAAATTTAATGATGGGTTTTGTTTGTTGTTTTGTTTTTGTTTTTTTCCCCACTCTTGATGTAACCATTGTGATGATTTACACGATGATTTTAGGACATTTCAGAGGACTGAATGAAACTCTTTCACCATTAACAAAGTGCCATGTTTGCTTATCTTTTTAATCTAATTAAATTTAATTCATTTGAAGGAATGAAAATTTCTTTGCTTTTTTAAACTCTAATTTCAATTCAGGCATTTGTAGGAAACCAAAAATATAAATAAGATATTGGTAATTGCTATATTTTGTGCACTTTGCTGGTTTAAACCAAAGAAATAATTTGTATTTACATCTCCCAATTTTTTTCATGAAAGTAAACAAAAAATGTCAGCAGTTGGTTTGAAGTTGTTGTTTATTAGGAATGTGAACTGAAAATTTCACATCTTGCACTAACCCTAAAAATATATAAGTAAAAACATATGTATTTTAAGAGATGTTTCCGATATTTGAAGTTGTGATTTTTTTTTTTGCTGACTAATTATCGGTTACCCTTTCGGTACCCCAGAGTCACCACTTCATCTCATTGCATAATCTTTTGTTGAATTTGTTCATTTGGGGATGAAATTCTGTTTCACCCACAATGCATTTCAAAGCCATGTTTTGGTCAGGGGAGAAAATGAAGCAGTCATGAACATTAGGGTATTTAGTTACCGTAACAATGTTGCCATTTTAAATGTATATTTTGAAATGTATATTTATGATAAAAGCCGAGTAATTTGCATACCTGTGACCTCTAGGCACCTTTAAAACGATTTAGCGTGATTTGAATATATGCTTGCGTGCTGATACTGAAACATATCAATTAGCCAAAACTGGTGTGTTTCTTTTGAATCACTATCTGGTTTTTCTGATTTTGTAAGATAAACGCGTCGTCCATTCACCAATATTTTATTTACAGTCAAAAGAATAAATAAGCCTTTCATAGGCTGTTAAAATATATGCAATGATTTGCTAAAATGAAAAGTTTTGAAGGAATTTGATCTAAACATTGAATGAGATGATCCTTTTGTTAAACAAAGAAATGCCCTAAAAACAGATTTGACGGGGAGGGGGAATAAACTAATGCAGTATATTGTATTTCTTAATAAAGAATACAGTATTTGTTTAAAAGTGAGTTTTCTTTAACTTTAAATAGGAGGAATGAATGGTAAACATAATGAAGTATTAACGAGATGCTTATTTATTAAATTGAATGTATATTGTTCAAACTGCAAGACAACATTTTAAAGTTTTAACAAAACAATGTTTTGTTTGAATGGTTTGCAGATCCCTTACTGGAGAAGGAAACTTTAACTGGCGGTTTGTTTATCCATTCGAGTACCTGATTGCTGAGGAAAAAATTGTCATATCAAGAAAGGAGTCGTTATTTTCCTGGGATGAATCGGAAACAAAGATTCCAGCAAGACTTAATCTACAAGTATGGGATGCAGACCATTTCTCAGCAGATGACTTCCTTGGTAAATAAACAAAATTAGAAATCATTTTACACACCTTCCTTGGTAAATAAATAAAATTAGAAATAATTTTACACACCACTACTGTTTCTTTAGTGCTTCAATATAGTTAGAATTTGTACATTCAACATAATCTATCCTTAAATGTACAAATTAATTAAGATGGTTTTTGCTTGTTGACAACAATGAAGCAACATAAAACATCATTTTGTTTTCGATGAATTTTGCTATAATTTCATTGAAATGTAGGGATGTCTTTGAGGCATTTTTATTTTTGCATTGGTTTTGTAGTTTTAGGGTCCTATATATTGGTTCTTTATTGTTTGACTGTTCATCCAAACCTGATCCACACCTACAGTAAATACTCTTTATAAATATTTTAGCTTGTTCGTTGTAATAAAAAGCCCTTAATGTCTCTGTCTGAAGAATGAAGATTTCACTTTAAATTAATTTAATTTATTAGTTATAGCTAATCAAAAATACTTTTTAGCATGGAAACATAAAATTGATCATGAACTATTCATATATGAGTAATTTTATTCAATTTTAAAGGATGAAAATAAAAAAGTTGTCAAACATTGAAGATATTTTCAAAAGGTTTAAATATTTTAGAAAAATATAATGCCAATTATCAATTTTTATAATAAGAATGTAAGTAAGAAAAGTACTTGTCGTAAGAGAAGAATTTTTACCAATAGTATTTTCTGAAACTTTTCACACAATTTTTATTTAATTTATATTTTTCCCTTTTTGCTCCAAGTTACATTTCTCTTAACTTGTACAGGAGTTTTCATCTTCTTCTGATTTTGAAATCCAAATTGCTTTCATGCAGTAAGTCCAAACATTTTTGACGGTTTGCGAAGGAATTTACAAAAGTTGTTGTTATAAGAAGATATCACTATTTAAAGTACTGATATGCAATGTATCATGGTAAGATCAGGAGAAATTTGCATATTTACAACGTGGTGAGTAAGGAAACATATTAACCATGATTTAAGTAATTTTAATGTTTCATCATTACAAAGTCAAAGGTAAAAGGACTGTAAGTTTAAGAATTTACCACAAAATGTCTGATGATGAAATGATCCAGGATTTTAGAGATGATATGAACGTGTTGTAATTTATATCAATGCTGTAATATACACTGAATAATGTATATTTCGTAATCAATATTGAAATAGATTACCATGACTTTGATTTATGACAGACAGATTACGTAAATTTCTGAGCCCAACTTTTGTCACCTTTGGCTTGTCAAGAGTAAACATTTCCAAATCAAAAACCAGGTGTTTGATTCATGTGTGATAATTAAATATGTGTACAGTATTTAAATTTGTGAATGAATTTTCACAGAGAAAAATCATACAAGGAAACCTTCATGAATGGAAATGACTTAAAATTTATTCAAAATTTAATGAAATCTTATTTCACAAGATATGCAAGTAGGTTAAGGTTTTTGCTATAGTTGACAAAGTTTATCTGATTATTTGAATAATTTTGGATAATTAATTTATAAAAAGACGAAACATTGGAACTGCTAACCCAGAATTTACAGCTGGGAATATAGGAATACAAAATGTTACTTAATTAATATGATGCAGTATTATTCAAACAAGAAATGAAAAAAATGTTCTCATTCATTCATTTATTCATTTATTTATTTATACTTTTTTTCATTAATTTTTTCTCATGAATTTTTGCCATCATTAGATAAATATTTTAAAGAAATTGAAACATTAGAGAGAAGTATGTAGATGTGATGGTCGTTGTTTATCAAAACAATCATTATCAGGAATGGAAATGATCTGAGACAAATATTATCTCAAATGGGTTGTTCTTGCCTGGAGGCGAGATAGCACATACCATCATCCGACTTTCTGAAGAGAAAAAAACTAAGTCTTAAAGACAGAATTTTGAAATGTTGAAACAAAAATGAGTTGATATATATTTATAGAGTGACTCATGCCAGTTGTAAACGGAATTTTGTTGCCAAGATATGAACATCTCTCACAAGCACTGGTATTTTCTAGTCAAATCGACTGTAGTCTGGCACAAGTTTTGTTTTCTTTTCACATTTACAAGATTCTTCATACCACCATGTTTTTAGAATGAATTGATAAACCGTATTTATTCAAACGAACACCATCCAGCTAAACTAGCTCAATTAGTGGGCACAGGAAGCTTTGAATGGCTAGAGCTACTGGTACCTCATGGTGTGTTTCTGATAACGACCCTTGTCGACTCATCATAGCACCAATTCATCAGGTTTCAAGGGAAGCATTTCACAGAGAAAAGCAAAGTTGTGACTGTGTTGGAAAATAAACAATAAAACCATTTTATCTTCCAACATATAAGAATTACATTGATATACCTTATATAGCTGTCAAGGTCACTTTGTATTCTGGTCAGTTTATCTAACAGCTAGAAAGATATTTCCTAAAAATTGTAGTCTTCATGGAATTTATCTACAGTTGAAAAAGAAAAAGATTTTTTTCTGAAGAAAAATTATTTTAATATGCAAAAATTCCAGTGAAAATATTAAAATTATTTCATCAGAATTTTAACAACGTTAAATTTGCAACCAACCAGCACTTTTCTTCTTAATGTGTCTAATTGGGCATGACAAGCTTTTTCTTTCCGAACATGTTTTAAAATCCTTTGAATATTTTCAAAATATTTCCTGGAATTTAGATAAAATTATCAACTATTAATTATGAAGATTTAAAGAACAAATCAGAACTTGATTTGTCAATTTGATGTTATGCAACCTTGAATTATTATTACTTTCCCTTGATTCTGTTGCCAGGTGCCCTAACCCTGGACCTCAACCGGTTTCCACGCGGTGCCAAATCAGCCAAATTGTGTTCCCTGGACATGCTGAAGACGGATGGTAGTGTACCACAAATGTCCCTTTTTAAACAGAAGAGAGTGAAGGGCTGGTGGCCGTTTGCGGTTAAGAGCGATGGTGGGGAGGAAGAATATGAACTAACAGTAAGTCCACTTTCTGTGTTGAGAAAGCACATCATTCCTGACTTAAGGTTGGCAAGCAGATGTAATAAAATGTTAAAAGGTTTGCTGGAAATGTTTTCAAAACATGGGCTTAATACTAGACATTGACTTGTTGCAGAATATCACATATGTATTTTATCATATATTTGTGCCATTTTTTTCGTAAATTTCCAATTTCCCTTTTTAGCATAGATTGACCATGTCAGGTCTTTGGTGACCAATATATGTCTGGTTGTCAAAGCATACAACTTTTTGAATTGCTTCATGATTGTGCAAAGAAAAATGTTTCTTAAGGCAAAATCTTATAAATTTTTTAAAAGAAAATTTCCTGCAGGTATTTTTGAATTATAAAATTTGACATATATTGTCAATTTATTTTTTTTATCACAAAGAAAAAAACCTGTTGATGGCAGCTCTGGTTCAGTTTCCTCTCCATTATGCTTTTGGTGTTGTGATCTCTTCGATGGCAGAGATATACCCCCATGTATGTGTGACATAGAAAAAACGTTACAATTAAGTCAGTGCTGGACAAAAGAAGAGTTTCCCTTAATAAAATAACTCACCAAATGTTTTCTTCAAAAAGGATGAAGTTTAAAACTAGAGTTTAAAAAGTCAACAAATGGAAAATAAAATCATTTCAGGCCTCAAATCAAGACAAATTAGCTTGAGTTAATTCAAAACTACCTACCAGAGTAGGAGGTTGCATCGGCCTTCAATTTTCAATAAATATTCTTAAACCTTGACAGAATTAGGAATTTGAAAACGAATAAAAAAAAAAGATTCTTTAATGTGCTCAAAAGGTGATCAACTATTATTTAAAACTATTATGTTTCATTTGTCTTAAGAATTAAGAAAAATGAGGCTACTGTAGCCCATTATGTAGAACATTGACTATGCAACATCAGATAAGATTCAAGGTTTGAATGTTTTTAACCGTGCTTGCTCTGGATGACATGCGACCGGCCTCTAGTATGTTGTTCAATGAAGTAGTTACCAGTTGTAACAAGGAGAACCCAATATGACTCTGTCTGGCCAGGTACAGTGAACTCAGCAAACAAACAAAGAAGTGTACTCTGATTTAAGTTAACTGCTTTGGTGATGGGGTGCAATCAATATTTAGACTTGATTCAACACTTTTGTTGCCATGACCATTTAAATATTTCAGAGTGGATGGCAACTCCAAGTAAGTTGTTCTTCACTTTTATGCACATCTGAAAAGTATTATCAAGGTCGGTGAATGGGTGCATTTCTTCTGTTTATGATATGAAGGTCAAGGTGATATTTTTATTACTTCTGTTGCAAATTAAAAGGTCAAGGTGATAGGTTTATTTCTTTCTGTTGCAAATTTGAAGGTCAAGGTGAGATGTTGATATACTTTTGTTGCCAATTTAAAGTTGAAGGATACAGGTTTACATCTATTATGTAAAGGTCAAGGTAATAGTGTTAGCTTCAATTTTACATCAGGATGTTATGTAGGTCAAGTTAACTGGGGAATGTCTGGAGTTTTTTGTAAAGTGCTTGAATATATTGCAGCATAATATTGCATTAATTTAATACCATGTCAGTTCAATTTCAGGTATTTAATTCATACTTTGCATGCAAAAAACTAATAATAATCAGCATAAATTTTTACTTGTCTTATCACCCATGTATTTGCAGATTTTAAAGTTTTGCTTGTGTTTTCTTGACAACTCAGTCACAAAATTTTGACACTTGATACTAGACTCTGGTGTTCTCTACAAAGGATCTTTATCCTGGTGTGAAATCCTTAAATGATGTTTATTTTAATGATGCTGAAAGGCTGCAGCATCTGTTTTATCCCAAACTCCCCATCCCCACTTAGTAGGTGTAGTGATGTTGTTATATAGTAATCATTTTGTGCATCCATGCATGCATGTGTCCATCCGTCCATAGCTTCTGTGCAAATAGAATTAGACTTAGAAGTTACATAAAGTTCTATAACACCTGATAAGATTTCAGTTATCGTTGGTCAAGGTTAAAGGGTCAAAGATCACACTAAACCACTTTTGGATTTAAAAGATTGTTTACAAGATTCAATGTAGCAGAAATGAAAATGAAGTTTCCGAAATTTCACAAAGGAGCTGAAGTTATTGTCTAGTTTGATAGATATCTCCCTTTCTCAGAAATCTTTTGAAATGAGGGTTACGGTTGAAATTAACTTTGTTAGATATCCAATGTAATTTGAACAATGGTCTCAAATATTTCATAGAGAATGCTTGGATGATGAACAGTTGCTATTGACAAAATCTGTGTACCATTTAGCAGCTTTTGAAGATCATGTTTTCATTGACAAGCGATTTCATAGTGCGAAGTAGAATAGTATATATGCTGCTCTTGTCCACTCCATCACATCTTACAACAACATTGCAATTACTTCAACTTCAGCTACAGAGCAGGTGAGAGATACAGGCCCATTTGGTCTCTTGAGCATTACTGACATAAATTACATGGTAGATGACGAGCTTACTTTCAAATCTAAGGGTTCTAAGATTTTACCTTGCATGATTTGTACAGTCAAAAGAGTCATTCTCAATGACCCATTTTACTTTTTCGAGTAACCAACAAGTCATATTAAGTGATAGGCAAAGTCAAAGTAGGAAAAATACACTTGTGTCATACATGCCTAAAACTGTAGGAATGTGCACTTTGTTTTCTGTTACACATTTTTATGCCCATACCCTTTTTAGCCCATTATCATGATGATGGTAGGTTATTCAAATCACCTCAGGTCCTTAATTGTGACGGTTTGGTTTCTGGCTTGATCAGAAACACAAAATGGCCGACAAGAGGAGGTCTTGTATTTTTACAAAGAAGTTTGTTATAGCTTTTTCTGGAGAAGTACTGGATGAATCTTTCACAAATTTCATATGTAGGTTTCCTTTGGTATCTAGTTGCACCCTGTCAATTTTGGGGATCATCAGAAACAAAATGGCTGACAGGCAGTCATCTTGGATTTTCACTTTAAATGTTTGTTATCGCTATTTCTTGATAACAACTGCATACATCTTTCTCAAATTTCGTTTGTAAGTTCCCCTTGGTCCCTGGTTGTGCCCATTTGATTTTAGGACTGATCAGAAAAACAGAATGGCTTCCAGGCAACCATCTTGAATTAAGCAGTTAAAGATTATTATTATCGCTATTTCTGCAAAGGAATGTTAACATTTCTCATCATTATGAGCTTTCAAAGAATAAATAAAGATCAAACAATAGGAGGTGCCAAGATCCCTCTGGGATCTCTTTGTTTATGGATGGGACATTTGGTTCATATTTACCACTCACGATATCGTAACATCGAGTATTAAGATGGTCATTGTTCAAATATAAAGGGTCAAAGGTCTCATGAGAACATTTATGTCTTAGATATAATTTTGATGGCAACCAAATAAATATTCTACCAAAAGCACACATACCTGTCCATATTTGTGTAGTCGACCTGTTGGAATTGGTACCACATAATGATACTATTACAATATGCCCGATTTTGTTCTGGTATTTGATCTTTTTGTGGATGTTCACGATGTCTGAACTTTCAAACTCATTCCATTTAGATTCAGAAAGGCACTGTGATGAGATATGTTTTATTTCAATCGGTTGTGACTAACACACATTGATAGTATAAGCTCCATTTGGAACACAATTTCTGCATCACAGAGCATTTCAAAAATGAGGAAAATTTTTTATCTTTTAAATGGGTCAAATAACATGGTTATGTTACACTCAGCTTATAAAACTGTTTCAAATATATATTTTTTTAATTTGGTTGTAAATTATGTTCTTAATCTGAAATGTTAGTAATGAGAGTTAAAGTTATTTGTCCAATGTGACTCCAGGTGCCATCTATATACAAGTTTATAGACACAAGAATGTTTTAGATTATCTGGAAATTGAAACATATAACAAAATAATTAAAGGCAAAGAGTTGAACCCTACTCTAGTAGAGTTAATGGCACAAGGACAGCCAGAGTGTTTAGAGGAATGAACGCCACTGGCCCGCCATCAGGAGTCGGCATGGCTTTGACAGTCTGACTGGGACCTAACACTATTAGCACCACCGCCTATAGAATTAGTATTATGTCTAATTTCACAGATAGGACTAATAAATTCACTCATTCTGCCCACATTAGTGTATAATAATCAGAAATAAAACAGTTGTCGTCTTCAACTGTGCCAAAAGAACATCACACAAACTGTGTAATTGTGACGCGTGCCACCATACTTTATCAAAAGATTTGTCTTGTCTGCCCGGCACAAAGACAATGATACTGAGATTTAACTTTTGTACTGGTTTTACCTCGCCTCAGTTAACACCCAGTACTTTGACAGTGTTCTTTTCATATCAGCTTGTAGAATTTCTAGATATAAGCATTGGATTGTGCTTCATTTTTAAAAACAAATAATGATATTTTGAGAATGCAAATCAGCTTTTTTTTATAATATTTGCAATGGTTGTTAGTTGGAGAAAAAACAGACCCTTATAAAAAAAGAAAATTTAAAAACAGAAAATATGTTGCCAAAAATTAAAAAAAAAAAAAAATCCTGCAGGTTCTGAAAAAGTAAGTACAATATACTTTCTACTTATGTATATTTCATAACATTCACACCTGCTGTGACAAATTCAATGTCCATTTCAGAAGTTTGTAATTCTTGTAATCAACAACAGTTGTTGATAGCAGCACATTATGATGATGTGTGTTGTCACAACAAAATCTGTGACATGATTAATTACAAATATGTAAAGATTTAGGTCACTACAGTAAAATGGTATAAATTTTTCTGTGATGGTAGGATATTTCAATCTCTTTGAAGATGAAAAAATAATTGGTTCTCTGGCTGATAACAGTAATGGCTTGTTCTGAGTACCAATGGTTCCCCTCATGTCAAGATGCAATTTGTTTTCAACCCAACTAACAAGTTTAAAATTCAAAAAAAGATATGACTGCTGTAAAATAAAGTTTCAATTCAAATAAATCAAAAGTTGTGACGTCCTTGACTTCAATTAGAACTAATTTCTAAAAAATTAATTAAGACAGGAGAAGGCCATGTTATATATATTGGAGGTGGGGTGGGGGGAGGGGCTTATTAAATGACAATGAAGAAGCTTTTGCTGACCAAATGTCAGTGGGATACATTTATCAAAATACCATTAAATAGTTTCTTCTGACTCCAATTCTGAGGGGTTGTGTTTATTAACAGACCATGACACTAAAATAGTTTCTTCTGACTCCAATTCCGAATTGATGGTTCTCTACAATATGAAGAAATAGCTCCTTTTGACATCAGGGGAACAGGATTATTACATGACAATGAAGTAGCTTTTTTCTGACTCCATTTCAGGAGGATCAGTTTATTACAAGACCATGAAATAACTTTGACTCAAAGTCAGTGGGATGGGCTTAAGACCGCAAAATAGTGTATACTGTCATAAAACTACTTAACAGTAATATATACATATTACCAAGCATGGGCTTATTACTGGATAAATGCATTTTTTTCTGTCATTTCTTTACATGTAATTTCAGCAGGATAGGTAGGTATGTAGGTATGAAGATAGGTAGATAGTGTGACCTTGAGAAGCTACAGAAGTCCTCTAACATTGTGGGGTCTTTGTTGTACAAAAGTCCTCAACTACAGACATATTGATGCCCTCTGGAGTCTTTACTACAAGTCCAAGTCATGTAATGATTTTTCGGGGACTAATGATGTTTTTGGTCCTTCTCTGCCCTAGCGGCTTTGACATGTTGGAGTATCAAGTTGACGGTAGCCTGCTGGCCAAACAAGCTAGGTTTTCTGCCAATTTGTAGAGTTACCATCAAAGAACACACAGATACTTTTATTTTAACTGTCTCTTACAACCTCTAATGAAGTGACAGCCAGATTGATGCTGATGAGAAACCAACCAATGTCATTGCCGAATAATTTTTGGACATTATTAGTGCAATTTTATCAAGGGTGTCAATACCATTTTTCTGAGGACAAGACACATTACTATTGGCATCTGTACAAACACTCGTGTGGCAGGTATGCAGCCAGACGGCCATCGTTGTTGTCGTAGAAACCATCACCTAGTGAATATGATTAGTTTGTTTTTGTGCTAACCTCCAACTAATTGTGTTGTATAAAGGCTAGCACAATCAAGTCTCATCTCAAAAAATTAAACGACGCAAGACACTGTTTACTCCAAAGCCTTGTAATTTGGGTTGGATCCAAGAGTATGAGGACAGGCCGCGTCTGAGGTAGTGTAGCCAGAGATAGAGGGGGTTACTGCTAATAAATGTGAATTACATTGTTTTAACTGTCCTGACTGTTATACTTATGGTGCCTGTCTTTGATCCCATCTGACTGTAGCAGGGGCCTTAACATATCTTTCTCATTTCAGTACTTACATGCAACAAAGCGTCTTTAGTATGCACCACAAGGTGCCTCCAATACTCACACCACCAGGTGTCTCCAGTACTCACCACCCAATGTCTTTTGTCCTCACACCACCAAGTGTCTCCAATTCCAACACTTCATCAGTCTTCTTTGCTTCCACAGTGATATATCACCAGTGCCCACACACAGCCTAAGATATCATTAATACTCACACACCACCAGGTGTTTCCAGTACTCACATCACCAGGGGTCTCCAGTACTCACACCACCAGGTGTTTCCAGTACTCACACCACCAGGTGTCTCCAGTACTTACACCACCAGGGGTCTCCAGTACTCACACCACCAGGTGTCTCCAGTACTCACACCACCAGGTGTCTCAAGTACTCACACCACCACGTGTTTCCAGTACTCACACCACCAGGGTCTCCACCACCAGGTGTTACACCACCAGATGTCACACCACCAGCTGTCTCACACCACCAGGTGTTTCCAGTACTCACATCACCAGGTGTCCACAGTACTCACACCACCAAGTGTTTCCAGTACTCACACCACCAGGTGTCCCCAGTACTCACATCACGAGGGGTCTCCAGTACTCACACCACCAGGTGTCTCCAGTACTCACACCACCAGCTGTCTCCAGTACTCACACCAACAGGTGTCTCCAGTACTTACACCACCACATGTCTCCAGTACTCACACCAACAGGTGTCTCCAGTAATATGACTTCACAAGGTATACTCAGTACTAACAAAAAATTATACTCCACTCACAAATGGGAGTCAAACAATGTGGTCAATGTTATTAGGTGATGATGTACATGACTGGTTCTATCTGGAAAATCTGAACATGTCATATTCATTGTGTTATGCTAATTTCTACCTGTACAGGGGATTAGTAGCTGAGAATACCACCAGAACTATGATTATTAGACCATGTCTAAAAAATGGGCTGGATCATTCATAGTGTCTAACTATGTAGTTGGCATTTCAGTCAAGTATTTTACAAAATTCAAGGCAAATTTTATGAGGGAAAGTTTAACAAAATTTTCTGGAAAGCTACATTTTAAATGCTTATTCTCAAGAAGTGCTGAAGAGTTCTTCATTACATTTTGAAGCATGCTGTTTATTTAATCTAGTTGTACCCAACATATTTTGAACTTGATTGAATATTCAAGATGGTTACAACTCACTATTTTGAATATTGATATTTGAATTTTCCAGTCTCTTTTTTTTCCAAGAACAAGTGTAAGATTATCTTAATTAGTAAGTGGGAGTGACATCAAAGCTTTTATAAATAGCATTATCTTATTTTTCTGAGGTATCCTTGTGTAATTATCTTCCTCTGTAATGAAGGAGTTATGTGTGGTGATTAGATTTGTCCATACTTTTTAAATTGGAAAGAACAAGAGAGACTTCAAAGACATTGTAAAACCTTCACCATTATCTAAAAATAATTGACCTTACGTCTTAATCAATGTATGTGGTTAGTAATCATTTGACCAGATTTTTTACTAAACTACACAAGTCATATCATTGACAATCAGCACCTCTGTCCACAGCTAACACTTTCTTAATAACCTTTATTTTGAGTTTAAGCATATGTTTATCTTAATAAATGTTGCGTGTTGTTTACGGACATCATAATTGTGTGAGAGTATCAAGATTTCTGGTAATACCTGTTGTTTACATCACAACATGTTCTGTTAGTTTTCACCCCTGTAGTAAATCAATAATATGTCTTTTTCTTGGTATGTTGACACCTGTCTATAACTTAATTTGCTGTTTGACACCTGTCTATGTTTGATGTGTTTTGTTGACATCTGTCTGTGTTTGATGTGTTTTGTTGACACCTGTCTATGTTTGATGTGTTGTGTTGACACCTATGTTTTTTTGTTTTGTGTTGACAACTGTCTATGTTTGATGTGTTGTGTTGACACCTGTCTATGTTTTTTTGTTTTGATGACACCTGTCTATGATTGATGTGTTGTGTTGACACCTGTCTATGTTTGATGTTTTTTATTGATACCTGTCTATGTTTGATGTGTTGTGTTGATACCTGTCTATGTTTGATGTTGACGTCTGTCTATGTTTAATGTGTTATGTTCACACCTGTCTGCATTTGATATGTCTTGTTGAAACCTTGTTGAAAATCAATAATATGTCTTTTTCTTGGTATGTTGACACCTGTCTATAACTTAATTTGCTGTTTGACACCTGTCTATGTTTGATGTGTTTTGTTGACATCTGTCTATGTTTGATGTGTTTTGTTGACACCTGTCTATGTTTGATGTGTTGTTTTGACACCTGTCTATGTTTTTTTGTTTTGATGACACCTGTCTATGTTTGATGTGTTGTGTTGACATCTGTCTTTGTTTGATGTGTTGTGTTGACATCTGTCTATGTTTGATGTGTTTTGTTGACACCTGTCTATGTTTGATGTGTTTTGTTGAAACCTGTCTATGTTTGTGTTGACACCTGTCTATGTTTGATGTGTTGTGTTGACACCTGTCTATGTTTGATGTGTTGTATTGACACCTGTCTATGTTTGATGTGTTTTATTGATACCTGTCTATGTTTGATGTGTTGTGTTGATACCTGTCTATGTTTGATGTTGACGTCTGTCTTTGTTCAATGTGTTATGTTCACACCTGTCTGCATTTGATATGTCTTGTTGAAACCTGTCTACATCATGGCATCAGCTTTTTTTTAATCCATTTATTTATATTTGAATGTAAATTGTGTGTTATGTAGACATCCTTTTGTATTCTTTATTACTTGTCATGGTGATATCTCTTTATGATGTTTTGTGTTTTGACATCTGTTTATGATGTTTTGTGTTTTGACATCTGTTTATGATGTTTTGTGTTTTGACATCTGTTTATGATGTTTTGTGTTTTGACATCTGCTTTAAACATATATTGTGTTGGCATGTTGTTTATGTCATGTTTTATTGCATGTGCTGTGTTGACACAAAGTTATTGTTAGGAAGTCTTTTGTTGACATCTGTTGTCTGTGACATATATTTTTGTGCCTTTAGTTAATGTCATTTACTGTGATGACACCTGTTTATATAATGACTTGTGTTGAGATGACACCTGTTTATATAATGACTTGTGTTGAGATGACACCTGTTTATATAATGACTTGTGTTGAGATGACACCTGTTTATATAATGACTTGTGTTGAGATGATACCTGTTTATATTATGACTTGTGTTGAGATGACACCTGTTTATGTAATGACTGGTGTTGAGATGACACCTGTTATTTGTGTTATGACATGTGTTTTGACACCTGTTGTCTGTTGTTCCCTAGGGTAAAGTAGAGGCAGAACTACACCTACTGTCTATGGAGGAGGCTGAGAAACACCCGGCTGGCCTTGGTCGGAATGAACCAGACCCACTAGAAAAACCAAAGTAAGTAAAATACACCTATGGTGCTGGTTGCGGCCATCATTTTCACCCTTCTGTAACAACTTTTTCAGTATTTTACTGAAGCATCAACAGAATTTTGGTGCATGTGTTCTACAAATCACAGAGCATTAATACCAATTGCTTCCAATCTTTCAACATTCTGTGTCTGTAAGAAATGTTTACCACTATAATTATGTTAAAGTTTGTACAAATGACACACCGTTATATAGAATCATTTAGTACAAATTTAGATACTGAACAGTAGAGCCAAACAACGATTTCATTTCAGTAATAATTACCATAATTTTAGTAGTACCTGCACTCGTCTTTGTATTTCAAAAGCCAAAAATTCAAAAATCCCTTCTCCCTACAATCCCATGAGCCATTACAACAGAAACATAGAATGATCTCAACCAGTTCAGAAGGCCAAGATTCTTGTTCTGACTGAGAGTTCACCAGTTGGTGGACCTTTCATTAGAATGTACTCCCTTCCTACCTGGAGTTTCCCCTCAGTTGTACTGTATTCTGATGGGCTGCCTGGTGTCAAAGTCTCCACCACAGTAAGATGAATTTGCACACTAAAGTTATGGTAATCATACCTAAAATGAAATTGAGTTTATTTTTAAGTGAAACTAATTTTCATGTTGTAATACTTACCATATCTTTATGGAGTCCAACCCTTTCCTTCCCTTTCCCTCTCTGCCCCTATTTTGGGCTCAAATAAAGGTTTTTGAGGAAGGGAGGTCACTCAATGTCTCCTTCGTAATGGCTCTTAGGCTGTAGGGAGGGTAGGATTTTGCTTTTGTGCTACAAAGATTCTGAACCATTTTTGTTTATTGAATGGCTATCACCATTGATTTGTATGCTATACTACTTCATACAGCACACTCCATAACATTATTTTCCTTCTTGTAAAAATTTCAATATATGATTATCTCCCATCTTACTAGTTGGTTATCTCCCTTTCTGTTTTGATTTACCTACAAACTTTCATATTTTCATGTTTATGAAACTGATACTTGATGTTAACTACAACTAAACACTTAATGACCTCTTCCCTTTTCTTTTGACGATTACCTCCCTTTACACTCAAGGTTACATCTCTTCCCAATCAAAGGTTAGCTCCCTTTGCACTCCCCTTTACACTCAAGGTTACATCCCTTCGCAATCAAAGGTTAGCCCCCTTTGCACTTCTTTTTACACTCAAGGTTACATCCCTTACACTCAAGGTTATATCCCTTCCCAATCAAAGGTTAGCTCCCTTTGCACTCCCCTTTACACTCAAGGTTATCTCCCATCTCAATTAAGAATCACTTCCTTTACTTGCGGTTTACCATGTTTTTTTGAGTGAAGGTCACTTAAGTATATTGAAAGGTTTTTATATGTAATTATGTATGTATGACTATATTTCCTCTAATATTCTTCTTGATATCTCTGTCATGAGTACCATGTCACAAAAGGATAAATTTTAGGATTTTTTCAAATTTAACCACAAACTAGAAGGTTTAAAAACATGAATTATCAGTCAGTTTATAAAACTGATAAATTAAACGAGAGACTGAAAAAAATATATTCAGCACAATACAGTGCATTTTGTGACATTGTACACAATATTTTACTGAATCTTATTGAACACACCATTTATATTCATACTTGAAGAAATTCTTTATATGAGATTTCTCCTTCTTTTTTTTGACTGGGACTGTTCAGATTAACCAGGTTTCACATAAAATCAACAGTGATGTCTGCATGTGTTTGTTGACTAATCAATGCCTTGGTTACAGAATTCAAGCTTTCAGTTGATCTGGATTTTACTCTCATTACTTCCACAGCCACATGTCCAGACTCCTACTGACAAAGACTATTACTATCTTTTCCAGCAATATTCCCATGTCGTATAATGAGCCTATCAATATTTATTATAGTTTCAATGAAATGCTTTATCAATGTCCTGTAATAAGCCCATCCTCTGAATTTCAGTCTTATTTTTGTTGGCTCTCAGGCTTTACTTTGGCTAGATAAAGTGTTTCTTCTTCACATTTCAGTTTTGTAGCACCAACTTTTCTCAATACATTTTGTCATGTTTTCTGCATAATTTATTAAGAACATGACAAATGCTTTCCTTTTCTAGAAGACTTGAGTATTTCTTGTCCTGCAGGTGCTTGGTTTGACCCTCCCAACCAGTGCCATTTAAGTTTTTCTTGAAGTTTAAAACTGACCACACTGTGCTAATGTGGTTATGTAATTGGGAAAGACACTTCACTACAGTTGCTGTAGAATTTTAAGGGCTTTCTTTATCTTGTTCAGTGAAATAGCCACCAGCTACTACAAGGAAAACCCACCTCCAAATGGCCCTGGCTGTTCACAGTGTGATAAATAAACTCAGCAAAAAAGAAATCTAATGAAATTTCACTATTAATGAGGCCATAACTATTTTATTTACTTAATGACAGTTGTCTCCCTTTAAAAATTGCTTTAGTCAGTTTGACACTCAGCACTTGAGTCGTTCTCCTTTTTTTCTAAATTTGCAGACCTTTATTTCTGTCACTGATGAGGGGAATGTTGTTTTCAGTTTTTCACTTGTTTTTCATCTATCTTGACAATTTCTGATCTATTTCACTTACAATGCACACAATTTTGTCAAAGCTTCTTTCCAAAAAATTCTTTGAAATAAGCCTTAAGATCTTTACTAAACTAAGCAGTATTCTTAAAAAAGTGATGAAAAGAAGAAGATTTATTTCTACCAGTGATTGATTTCAATTGAACTTTTAACAATTAACAGCATTTCAGTTTGAAGCAATTTTTTTTCTTTCTTTAAACATTTTAAAAATAAATGCATTCTTCCTGAAAAAAGCACATATTTGAAAACATCATTTCCACTCAATGGCTTGTTTTTTAGTTTATAATTTTGTGGTTTTTTACAGTCGCCCCGATACTTCATTCATTTGGTTCCTGAGTCCCCTCAAATCCATTCGCTACATCCTGTGGAACAACTACAAATGGGTGATACTCAAGATGCTCATCTTCAGTGCACTGACAGCCATATTGATACTCTTCTTCTACGCGATGCCGGGATATACCGTCAAGAGGATGTTTGGCGCTTAGGTAGATTTTATTACACCGCTGCGCAAATATCAGTTTCAGTAGATTTTTTTCTTTCTTTTTTTAGTCATTTCATTATTTCCTTACATGACTTACTAATTATGAATTTTCAAATTTTCAAACAGCTACCCTGACTGATTTTTTAACACTGCATGGACTTGATAACATTGATATCGGAGTTGGCGTTGTGACTGCAGTGATATCCCGCACCCTGAATGCCATACCCCCAAACTACCTCTCCCCTGATATTATTTAGTTTTGATGGAAGTGACATCCCACACCCCCTTCCATGATGTCAGTTTGCCAACTTTTGGCCTCTATAATGATAAGTCTGGTAATTTTTAGTCCTATTTCTAGAGTGATCCACTCCTCCTGTTATTGGCTTGCATTTTTTTATCTCTACAGTGACCTCACAAGACATTGGAATGTCCAGTATCTTTATTACAGCAGTCAATCTCATTATATCAAATTGTGTATTAATGTCTTTACAGCGTCTCCTCTTGTATCAAATTGTCCAGTTTTGTCTTTACAGCGTCTCCTCTTGGCATTAAATTGTCCACTTTTGTCTTTACAGTATTTCCTCTTGGCATTAAATTGTCCAGTTTTGTCTTTACAGCATTTCCTCTTGGCATTAAATTGTCCAGTTTTGTCTTTACAGCGTCTCCTCTTGGCATTAAATTGTCCACTTTTGTCTTTACAGCATTTCCTCTTGGCATTAAATTGTCCAGTTTTGTCTTTACAGCGTCTCCTCTTGGCATTAAATTGTCCAGTTTTGTCTTTACAGCGTCTCCTCTTGGCATTAAATTGTCCAGTTTTGTCTTTACAGCATTTCCTCTTGGCATTAAATTGTCCAGTTTTGTCTTTACAGCGTCTCCTCTTGGCATTAAATTGTCCAGTTTTGTCTTTACAGTGTTTCCTCTTGGCATTAAATTGTCCAGTTTTGTCTTTACAGTGTCTCCTCTTGGCATTAAATTGTCCAGTTTTGTCTTTACAGCATTTCCTCTTGGCATTAAATTGTCCACTTTTGTCTTTACAGTGTCTCCTCTTCGCATTAAATTGTCCAGTTTTGTCTTTACAGCGTTTCCTCTTGGCATTAAATTGTCCAGTTTTGTCTTTACAGCGTCATCAAATAGTTCTTTTATTATACTACTGTATACAGCCTTCAATAAGCCGATGGAAAGAGGGGGGGACATATTGCCTCTTATTCTAAGTCAAGGAGGTGGGCTTATTACAAGACAATAAATTAGCATCTATTTGTATTTCTAACCAACAAGAATAAGTATAGGTGGGCTAGTATTACCAGGCATGGGCTTATTTTGAAATAGATACAGTACATCTCTAATTCTATTGCTCTACAGTACTTTTTTACTAATTTTTTTTTCTCTTATTTCTAATACAATGCCAATAGTATCCTTTCACTGTTTATTTTAGATTTCTGTTCTTGTAGCTTATTCTCTAATATCTTGTCATTTCAGTCGACCGGACTCATCATTCATCTGGTTCCTAAACCCCCTCAAGTCAATTCGGTATATACTCTGTCACAACTACAAATGGGTGATCATCAAGGTGCTAGTTGTTCTAGCACTGGCAGCCATTTTGGTTCTCTTTTTCTACGCCATGCCAGGTTACATGGTCAAGAGGATGTTTGGAGCCTAGGTAAAATATGACATTCGCATGCACAACACAGACCGAGGCAGTTCACACCCGTCATGCCCACAAACTAGCGTAGACTATTTTGGTTTTCTTAATATCATACAGATACATCATTAGCAGACAGGAAGGAACCCACATTTCCGGGATTGATCAAATATTGATCACCATGGTAACAGTGTCTGTCAAGTAATAGACATTTGGAATCCTATATTCGACAGGAAGCAAGGCTGTCGAAACAATAGCTGTACGGAAATGTCAATACTCGAGTCGCGCTCCAGTGCTTCAACTCAGATTACCAAGGGTTTTAAATATCCTAATATACAAAACGATCCTTACCTATTACAGAAAGTGCTCATTACCCATATCATAACCCAAACAAATCCAAAGTGCAATAACTCCATATACCTGTTGTTTTGTTTACATGTGGGTAGGAATACCTTGTACAAATTGTACCATAGTCAGATTTTGTTTTTTCTATGTTTAATACATTTTTTAATGGTGCACATGTTATATTCAAATATCATCTCATAATAATCATTTCCACACATCAAACATACAACTCTTCAATTTTTCTCGATTCCATGGGGAAAAAAAATGATTTGGTACATTCCTTGCTAAAAAAATACAACCTCTTGAGACATATGCCAGTAACCAAAGCCTTTTCATGGAAAGTTTTTAAAATGTTGACATTCCTTTGAAATCTGGTATTATAATCAGGTTATGTTAATTTTGTTGATATATTTCTACATTTCTTGAGCGAGTCATTTTGCTTATCTCATAAAAATTACATTTGCAAAGAGCTCAAGGGTTCACTCCAGAATCTGAATGTTATGCTAAGTACAAAACAATCAATTTCCTCACTACATGTGTATTATTTGAAGTAATATGTACAACTAGCATTTGATTTCAGTGTGTAACTTACTGAAATTGACATCTTTAAATGTGAATTAAATGCCATGTGTATTTCAGATTTCTCTTATAATTACATAGTAACATAGATTTTATGTTTGAAAATTGTTTGTATTAATCGTTTTTTTATCAAATACATTATGTTATTCAACTAAGCTTTTATAACTTTTTCTTTTGAAGAAATAACCAAGAATAGATTTCTGAATTCTGTATTTCTGTATTCTGCTAAATTTTCCTTTGCCACAGTCAATGACACACATGATTAATGAAATACTTATTTGTAAAAAGGACACTGTTCCAGGGGTTCACAATTTTGTGATCATGGGTGGATTTCAAAATGGAAATATTTGAAAAAATTGACATACTTGAGGTCAAATTCCATAGAATTTCACACTCTGTTGTTAAATATATATATATCAATAAATTGTAAGTTAGAAAATTGTGCAAGAGTCTTGAAATGTGATAAACCTTTATGCATCATGATGTTAACACCTGTACATAAAATGTTTACACAATGTTTTTTTTGTGATGTTTATAAAATCATGTTGATTAGCGATCCATCTTTTCATTCTCCTGGACTCATTGACCGTTAAAAATTTGAGAAAACTATTCAAATGTCAAGGTCATTATGACAACATATGATTGTTACTATATTCAGAACAATTCATGGTCTTTTAGGGTGTTAAGACAATGTTGTCTTGTATGAGAATTAATGAAAAAAAAGTCAATATGTTTCATGGCATTCCATTGTTCACAAACATGTTCACACTTTGTCACAAAATAGTTCATTAGTACACTAGCAGTTCACAAAAATGCTCAGCAGTTCATGAAATTTGAAAATGTATAGTGAATTTTAAAGGTGTTCATCATATATTAGAGGGTTCATAGTGTTCAGCTGTCCAATGATTATGTGTTAGATTGAGTGCACAGTGATGACCATCAACAAATATAGTTAATAGCCCACTGGTCAGTAGTTGTGTTGTTCATCAGTTACTAGATGTGATAGCCACTGGTCCTAATGGCCATCGGTCAGTTTTGGTTTAGCATTTACCCTTCAGAAGTCTGTGCTCAAAAGTCAGTCTCTGGTGGAGTCTGCGTATTACAGGACAATTTAGAAAAAAATGTTTCTGGTCTGCAGAACTGAGATAAATATTGGTGGGCTTATTACTAGACACGGACTTATTGACACAGAAAATGCAGTATTGACCATCAGTGACATTAGTTGTGATAGCTATCTTTCATTAGACTACAGTTGTAATGCCAGGTTTTAGCCATCTTAAACACTGGTCTCTATTAGTTGTAACACCCAACGGTCACTCATTGAGGTAGTCATTGGTCAGTATTTCCACCAGTTACTATACTTTCAAGCCACTGATCACAAGGTATTTCAAACACCATCTAACAGTTCAGATGAAATATTACATTGATACTGTCAAAACAAACCATAGTGAATTACATTCCACTATGCGTATCATAACTGTGGACCTCAAACGTACAACATGCGAAGTGACTGATGTCCGCTATAAGGAAGACTCTATATATAACTACAAATAAATAGCGAAAAAAGTAAATACGTAAACGACTTTCAGGTTTTAATTGAAGATACTGACACCCAACAAACCTGACAATAAACAGTGTTTATCATCTGTGATCTGTTGTTATTTGTTAAGTTTATGTTAAAATACTGGTTGTGTCCCTTTTTGTGTTTTTTTTCAGGGGAATGAAAATATAATATGTATCCTTTTTCTTATCATATGCCAAACCATTTTGTCTCTTTTTTCAAGAAATTTTTTTATCTTGTGGAGAGAAAAAAAAAACAGGTCCTAAAGATAAAGACAAATAAACTCGCAGCTTAACACGATCCAAAAACGGACCCACTTCGGGTCAAGGCACATACAGTTCAACTGTCTTTAGATACCAGCCAAGACTTCGTCTTGTTGTCATGGTAGCTAGTCTGGACTTGTACAGATGCCATGGTTTCCATTCAGACATGGTTGTGTTGTCCTGGAGACAGCCACATCAGGACATGTCACATGATCTGCTCAACCAATGACTGGATTCTGATTTTAAATACAAAGAGGCTTAGTAAAAATCTGAGGTATTCCATGATTGGAGATTTTTCATCACCTGTCTATGAGAAAAATAACATTCCAAATACAGTAGAATACAGAACAGAATAAATTTCTTTCAAAATGTTATCAATAATTAACAATAATTGACTAGTGCAAGCCATTGTTAGCAGATCTGGAAATTTTGATTTTTGAATGCTGGATGTCTTACGTTTAAAATGTTTGTGAACTAAATATAAATACTCGTGAATGTTTCAGAATTTGTTCTCAAATTTATAAGTTATTGATACAATTGCCTGAATTGCCATTATAAACCTACAACGTTGATTTTATCTCTTTCATTGATGCACAACATATTTGCAAGTTAAACCAATATATCTATATATGTATATATTTGGGTCACATATATGACGTCAAAGGATGGGTTTTAAAAGGTTCATATATATATGACATTTAGATTTATGTCATATTGGGGTCACATAAATGACATATATGACGTCAAAGGATGGGTTTTAAAAGGTTCATATATATAACATTTAGATTTATGTCATATTGGGGTCACATAAATGACCTTGAAGTATGAGTTTTTACAGGGGTCTTGCATATATATGACCTTTAGGTACGACGTTAATTGGATCAAATGAAATATCCTTATTTAGAAAACATTGGATGATTTGGATTTTCATTCCACATTGGATTATTTTTCTTCTTCAAAATCGAAGTTACATCATAATTCCGTCTGTTGAATGTTATAAGTGTTTCTAAAACAACACAGATTTTTAAAAAAAAAAGGTAAAATGAGGATGGCTATTGAATTTTTACTCAGATCTCATTATTTCTGTATAAAAGATGAAGGAGATTGATTAAGTGATTAAATTTCTTCAATATTTACTCAGATAAATGTTTATGAAATTATACAGGAAGTAAATAGTATTACACAAATATTTAGTTTTGAACAGCACACAATTCTTTCGGGACATTAAATTTTTTAAATTTTTTTCCAATAAAACATGACTAAACACGGAAACTATTAACTATGCTTTTCTGAAACAAGAAGTCACACACAACAGCTGTAGTGTATCTATCAGCTTATCTGTATGGTATCACGACACCTGTCGGTGGGGAAATGGTCTGTAGGTACAGCTTTACACCTGATGATTACAGTAGAAAGGTTAACACTGCCGGCTGGTTAGGGACACCATATTGACTTCCAAATGATACACCTATCATCATTATATTACAGACTTGTGAAAAATAATCTTGATTTTTATTGGGTAAACATTTGACCCTCAGCTAGGAAAGTGACATATGTACAATGTCACATATTTTGATGTCCTTTTCTCTATTTTAAAATTATTTCTTTTTTTTCTTTTTTCTCTTTAATTTGGTTTAAATTGTTGATAGTTCAAAAAAAAATACAAAATAAAAGAGAGAGAGAGAGAGAGAAAAAGGAAGAAAAAGATATGTAGATGTAGAAAAAGGGTGGTTCTGTTAGGAATGGATGTGAAAAATAAATTGAGAGAAGAAAACAATGGAGGGAGGAGGAGGGGGAGAATTATCAATTTCTTCATTCTTGTCTTGATCTATCTGTGTAAAAGGTGGCGGAGACTGATTTAGCGATTAAATTTAATAAATACTTATTAAGATAAATGTTTATGAAATTATAGAGGAAGAAAAAAATATAAGGTCAATATAGTGAGATTTAGGGGTTAATAATTCTTTGTGTTGACCTCCTCTAATTATTTCTTAGAACTCCAAATTATGAGATGCATGACATAAAAATGGAATATCTATATTTTTAAGGGGTAGGATAAAATGCTCTGTGTTTCCTAATAGGAGTATATTCTTCTTTCCCTCCCCCCTCCTCCCCCTCCCTACCCAGGGAGTGGGGAGTGTGGCCAGAGAGCCTGTTACCGGACTCTTAGCAACATGAGAGGACAATGTTTACTCAGGATGACATAAGTTTGATAAGAGTATGTTTCAGAGCAGGTAATGTTACGACATTGGGTTTCCCTCTTATTACAG